AAAAAAAAAAAAAAAAAGAAAAAACACAAATACTTATGTAAGATGTCAGGAGATAAGAAAAAGAAAGCAGGGAAAGAGGGAGTGGTGGGGTTAGTTTAAAAATCACTTTTTTTTAATTAAATTTTTTTCTTCTGCCCTCCAATGGATCTTCATTTAAAAATTAAGATTTTTATGGAGGTAAAAATACCCATTGTCAGAGGCAAACACTTAAGTGAACAGTTCTCTTCTGCCCACCCTCTCGCAGACTGTCCTGGATCCTTCGGGAAACCTGTTCCTTACAAGACCCCCCACTTCTCATTTACATGGGAAACGGAGGCACAGAAGGGCTAGAGCCTGGGAAACACCAGAGAGGAGCTGAGTAGGGGACTGCAAACGGGCAGTGAGTGATGGGCGGGCAATCAGTGATGGGGGAGTCCCCTGGGGTTAGGGCACAGAGACAGAGACGCAGCTGGGAGACACAGAGAGACAATACAGCGACACTGACATCAAGAGAGAGAAACCGAATGACTCAGAGACCTGGAATAGAAACAGAGGTACAGAGATGGAGAGATCATGGAAAGAGCAAGGAGACTTGAGGACAGCGAGAGAAACAGAGACAGTGAGAAGAAAGGCAGATTCACAGAGCCACAGAGGCGTTAAAAGCCTCCGCGATGCAGACAGACAAACAGCGACTCAGAGAGAGATGCAGACCCGGGATCGGAGCAACAGGACATACCCAGAAAGAGCCACCTCAGTGGGGGACCCCGGGCTGCCCCTACGGGGAGCGAGCCAAGAGCTCCCCCACCCCACCCCCATCGTGCCTGGGCCGTGACTTCAGTGCCCGCGCGGATTCTATAAATGGCCAAGCTGCCGCCGGCCGGGGGGGCGGGGCCGAGTGAGTCAGCGCGTGACGTCACCGCCGCCCCGACCCCGACAGACCCCGCCCCCNTGTGGTCATGGCTGTAGTCTGTGTAGCTGGCATCACTGTGATGCCTTTCTAAAACTGAGGGAACGGGCCGGCCCGGTGGCGCACTGGAGTGCGCTCCCGCCAAGGGTTCGGATCCCATGTGGAGACCGGTTCCCGCTCACTGGCTGAGTGCGGTGCGGGCGCAACACCGAGGGTTGCGATCCCGTTGCCGGTCCCCGGTACGGGCGCGACACCGAGGGTTGCGATCCCGTTACCGGTCAGTAAAAAAGACAAAAAGGAAAAAAAATAAAATAAAAAAAATAAAACTGAGGGAACACTGAATTTGGCTACATCGATCCTGGACATTCTCAACATTCTGTGGGTGTATCACATTAAGCTGCCCAAGGCCTGAGGCTCATTAGCCACCTTGGGTTCCCATGACAGCACAGGGTAAGGGAGCCCTCAGGCCCCAGAGCAGAGTGTGGGAAGAGACCGAAGAGATGTGGAAGAGTTCCTTCCAACCCTGATTCAGACCGGGACCCAGGGCCAAAGGGTGGAGGTGCGTAGGAGACAGAAGCTGTGCCCACCCTACCATGAGAAGGCTCAGATTCCCTCAGCAAGCATTTAATGAGTGCCTCCTGTTCTAAGCATCAGAGAACATCAGTGACCAAAAACCATTCCTGACCTTGGGGAGCTAACATTCTAGTGGGAAGACAGGCAAAAGACTCATGTTCTTTTTTTTTTTTGACCGGTAAGGGGATCTCAACCCTTGGCTTGGTGTTGTCAGCACCACGCTCAGCCAGTGAGCAAACCGGCCATCCCTATATAGGATCTGAACCCGCGGCCTTGGTGTTATCAGCACCGCAGTCTCCCGAGTGAGCCACAGGCCGGCCCAAGACTCGTGTTCTATGGAAATATTTTACAGCTTGAGCTTCTTGGTGACTACAGGGATGTAAAAATACATATTTTTACATGTGTAAAAATTCAGGAATATAGATACTGAGGAATGCTAGACATACATAGGAAAATGCAACTTTAAATATGTGTTAAACATTTAAGGGAGGAGATTTCAGTTCCTGGGTAGGATATAGTTGGCTCTTTAAAAGTCTACTTTAAAAACAAGCGATTTAGAGAAGAGTGAAGTAGAGAAAGGGAAGAGGTAGGAGGGGTGTTTACAGTTTGAAATCAGCTGGATCAGAGAAGGCCTTGCTGGGGTGTCCTTTGTGTAAAGACCTGGAAAAGACGAGTGAGCCGTCTGGATATTTGGGGAACACTTTGGGCACAGGGAACAACTATAAAGACTGTCTGAAGTGGAGTAATTGAGGGGGGAATGTGATGAGACTAAAGGTGAAATTGGGGGGGTCCTGCCCATCCCACCCCACCAAGAGCCCGTTTTAGGCTGTTAATAATAGCACACAAATCAGGGTCATGGCAGTAGCACTGGCCTCAGGCAAGGAGGGTTATCCGCCCTCCTGAGCCCATTTCTGCAGTCCCTCAGCCCCTGCGGTGCAGTGGACCGGCTTGGGGGCTATGTCTAAAGCAGCTACCGTTAGGATGCTTCAATGACTGCGCAGCTGCAGCACATCCACCCCATCAGGACTCCTGTGACTGGCC